AGCAAAGCCAAGAAAATTGAACTGTTTTATTGTTTTAAACCAGGAAAAAGTCTCCTGTGTCGATGCATGCAGGATGAAGAGATGCCTGGTGTGTAAATGGCTCAGAGAGTAGCAACCAGGAGACTGGGCCAAGACATGTCCTATGACCAATATGATGAGATTTTGCCACCACACTTGATACGTCACGATACTGTCCAATAGCTCTTGAAGGTCCTCTCACCACAAGTGAAGTTCAGCGGGTCATCAAATACAAACATTAACAAACTAACAACTGCAATGTCAAAAAAACCAAAAAGGTCTCAATTCTTCACAGCAAGTCCAGTCCGTTTCAAACTGTGTATCTATTTCCAACATTAAGCCTAACTTCACTCACCCTCAAGACACAAGTGAAATCCACATTTTAACAGTTTTGAGAATGTGGCAAAACAATTCAGTAAAGCCCACCCATCACACAAGTCCTTACCAAGAACTGAAAATCTAAAGGTTAATGCAGGTATCATTTACCCCCTGAGCAAAACAGCACTGTGAGCAGTTTAAGCCAGGCTCCTATGCAAGAACTACCTAAGGCAGGTGGGGAATTGCTTGGTAATTCGACTGTGGAGGAAGAAGTCATGTAACACGGCCTGCCAAAGAAAATGGCACAAGGCTCCCCCGGGACCCCGCTCCACGCAGCTCAGCCCCGTTCTGCAAGGGACTGGAAAGGCCTCCAAAGAGCCAACGTCGTGTCACGAAGCCTCACCTCCTCCCTGTGTGATCCAGTATGTACCTCCTGGCTTTGGGCCAAACAGTTTGATACACGTGGCTTGTACAGGCCACTGTTTGCTTTAATACTTTAACCCTTATCTGTACAACGGTTGTACAGAGCTCGTCCATCCAAAGACCTCGGTCCTGCCAGGTAGCAAATGACCTTCCCTAACTACGATCGTGTGCTTAGGAACATTTTTATTCTACAATGCAATATAAACTTTACATTTGCAAGTGTTAAATTTTGAAGTGAGAAAAGGGCAGGCAAGTAAAGACACAGATATAACATAGAAGGTGTCTGATGAACTAAAGAAAACACAGCTGAACTATAAAGCTCCAACCAACACATTAACATTCTTTTGAAGAGCGTATGTATCTTTAAATACTGGCCTACCCTAATGCAAATGCAACTAAAGTGATAATAAAAACTCTCAAATAATCATTTCCTGGCAAAAACGATACGCTTAAGGCTCCTCAAAACTATCTGCACGTGTGAAATCGATGGCCTTTGCAAACCCACTGCAGTGTACATTGGCCAAAGTAATGAAAAAGTAGGATGGAAATTAAAATACGGATAATTAAAAATAAACACATAAAATGCTTTCCACAAATTTCATGCTTTTTGAAATCTTTATCCTATGCTGTTTTAAACTGCACGCATTTGCAAAAATAATTTGTAACACACATCAAAGATCGATGGATGCTGAAAATAAAATTTACAGTGAGCTTAGACATTGAACTACAAAGTGACTGTTACCAGGGTTGCAATCCAGGAAACTTCTGCTACTAAATTTTTCTAAGAAGCTACATCTGTTGGTGCTGCTTATAACCTGTAGAGATTAATAAAGCTCTAGTACTTAAAATAGATTAAAAAAAATGTTTACTGCACCTGTACAATACTATTCTGATACATTTTGATGAGTAACCAGCTGTTCATACAATGACAATACAGTTGAAACAGAACTCTTCCCCTACAACTTCTTTTTGATCACATTCCTATCCTTCAGGTCCATACCCTGGAACTTGAGCTATAATCCAAGTACAGGATTAAAGTTTTGAAGATTTCAGGCCATACAATGAGATGGCACCTAATTATTCCCATTTTTCCCATACAATACCAGCAAGAGCTCTCTTTTGACCTTGCATCTGAAAGCTTCTTTCTTCTCCATCATGTCCTAGCTTCAGTAATGCAACTTTATCCTCTTTTTTTGGCTTTCGTAAGTGCAATCTCTCTGCCTTTTAAATTTATTTGTAAGGTGATACTACAAAAACATTTTCCTCGTTCACTGCTTTGATGATAGTTCTGTGTGTTCTTCCTTCTTCCTGATGAACCATATCATGAACAGCCTACTTGCTCTCAATTTCAGGGCTCTGCACAGCCTGTTCTTGCTCCACCTCTCCAATTGGAACCACTGTTCTGTACAGATACCCCGTTGTCACAAAGCAAGGGAGAAAACACGGGTGTTGGTCTGGCACTTCAGGCAGGAAACAAGCTATCCGTGAAAATCCTCGGCGTGACAATGTTACCCTCCTCTAAATACATCCTCCAAGCCGGATGCCTCTGAATCATTCCCCGATGCTGAGATAGCCAGGGTACTTGAACTTCTGCATGTTCTTTTGCTCACAGCATTCTCACAGCTCCCTCCTGCTTTCCCAATACATTTCTTACATTTACATGTTGTCTTATCTTTACATTTAAATTAAGAAATTGTTTGTGCAGAAGCTATCTTTGCTTATGCATTTGTACTGCCTGTAGTAAAATGGTGCCCTGGCCTCTAGGCACAATTACAATATAAATAACAAAAATGAACTGTTCACCTAAGATCGACTCTCCTGACAATGCTATCATGAAGCTACATCCTTCAAACAGTGATAAAATGCTGTTCCAGCATCACATTCTACCATCTGTACCTCTCCAGGTACTGATGGTACTGATTCCCAGTTCATCACCCACAGGAAGCCTCCACAGTTCCCTGTATCTATCTGTGTCCACAGCACCACTGGAGTTTTTACTGATAACCAGATAAAACACAGAATGAGAGAGACGTGGGCAGCACTGTCCTGCTGAAAAAACCTGTGCTCTCTTAACGTAAGTCTACTTCTGGGAAGAGTTGAGAATCCTTGGCATCTCACAGGAGCAGATTTGAGGCAGTTTTCCATCTGTCTGCTTAAACTCATTAAATTTACTTAAAAACATGGCCTTCAAGAGGGTAAAACACCAACCTACAGCACTCTCCAATATGGCATCGTTCTTTAATGGAAGCATCCATAGCTGAGGAATTATTCTATTTTGAGTTTGCCAGTTTAATGCAGGGCTCTTCATTTTATCATTACTTAGACTGCACTTAGACTGAACATTCAGTGGAACATTTCCTATAATGGGATAAAGCAGTTGAACAATTTGACTGGCTAATAGTGATTTAGACATGTGATTACAGTACAGAAAATGGTCTGACATATGCTCTTTTATCTGGTTTACATGAGGCACATTAATCCAACTGGAAAGCACAGAAGTGAAAAGGAAGACAAGTCATAAGAAGAAGATAGAAAATATTTTTACTTAGCTTATTTCTACATTTGATAGGTTAGTTGTAATCAGTATTTTGTAAATAGCAAAACTTACAAAATAAAACCATTTTCTCCCCAAAATGGATGCAACTAAAAAATACCTGTTTATACCTACACCATGAAAGTTAGAAAATAACTACTTTTTATAAAATCCTGGTTTCAAAAGCATTTATGACTTTTTCATAATGCCTCTACCAACAGTACAGGATTTCCACAAAGATGCAGCAGGACACTGAGCACCACACCAGCCAGGAACAATCAGAGGGTGAAGAAAAAGAGTATTGATTCATTTTAATTTTTGCCTCAGCTAATTTAATTTCCAGCTCTTACATAAACACTCATGTCATCATAACTCCATATTTTTACAGGAAAATTTTATTTCCTCCTAAAACTAGACAACAACATTCCTATGACAACGCAAACCTAACTGAAGACAAGGAATTACCTCTTTAGCACCACTTTTCCTCAAGAATGTATACACAACCTCAAACTGGCCTAACAAAATATGCCAATTTTCACAAATTACAATATTTAGGTTCTTTGTGCAGAGTGGTACATTTCAGTGGCATTTTTCTTCCAAAAACTCCTTTAAAATAAAACATTGAAAGGTTTCCTATGTAAGGTTTGGATTCTGTACATAGAAATAAAAACCAAGTATATAAAACTAAGCTTAAAGGAGATGAATCCAAGGACTTTACTGCTCGTACATTTGCCAACTACTTTCAATGATCACTATATGAAAATTTTTATCAAGTGAATAGGTAAGATAACAAAAAGAGAGAGCTGCAACCAATGCACCTTCCCCAAAACCAGGTGGGACATGAGAATCTTTGAAGGGAAACTTTCGTCAATTACAACAGCAAAAAAAAATAAAATCCACATATCCCAAACTAATACTAATTCTGTCTATAACATATACATGTAAAAACAAGCAGAGGAAAGCATAGCCTTTGCACGTGTTTAGGTCCAGCCCAGTAGAATCCCCTTGACATGTTTTGGACTTCCACTGTGACCTTATCGTCGGACTTGACCTTAAAGGTCTTTTCCAACCGGAACGATTCCAACGCGGAAACTGGCAATGAGGTCTGGGGTGGGCGTTCAGGGAAGCGCCAGGAATTCACTAGGACAAACACACTTGGGGGTGTCAAACCGAGCGCGTCCCTCAAAACAAAGGGAACAACCTCTGAACCCCGAGGCTCGCACAGACTCCGCAGCGCAGAGGCTGTTTCGGCCACATCACGACGCTCCCCTCTCCAAACGTGCTGCCCAGCTTTCCCCATTACCGCTGCCATCAGCTATGCCATGGCAAGCTCCATCCTACTCAAAAATAACCCGCGGGGGAGCGCAGCCAGCGCGCCAGCGGCGCTCCCCGGGAAGCCTCTCGCGGAGCCCGGCCTGGCCCCGCACCTCGGGCACCCACAGCGGGGCCACCCCCGGTCCACCCCACGGCGCTCGGCACTGCGGGATGCCCGCCCGGGGCTGGGGGAGCGGGGCGGCCCCTCGGGAGCGGCCCGACGGGGCGGGGGGAGCGCCGGGGCTGAGGGAGCGCCCGCGCCCCCGGCGGGGAGAGGCCGCGGTGAAGGGAGATGTGCCAGCGCCGGGGAAACCAGGCTCCCCCCGCCATCATCCTCCTCCTCCTCCACCCCCTCCCTCCGTGTGTTTGTTGTGCCTCGGCACCGTCCCGCCGGCGCGTCCCCTCGGAGCGGCGGCCGCTGACAGCTCCCCCCGCGCCGCCCAGAAACTCCTGCCTCAACTTTGCGTGTGTGCGCGGGGAGGGGAGGGTGAGGGGGTGTCCTCCCCGCCACCCGCCGGGAACCGTGCTTTTCCTTCCAAAAAAAAAAAGAGGGAGGGGGCATAACAAGGGGGGGAAAAGCGCCGAGGAAACACCGTCAAAGCATAGGGAGCACCCAGGGCGACGCTGAAAGCAGCCGCCGAGCGTCCTGGAAGGGAACGGACCCAAAAAGGAGAAGGGGGAAGGTGCAATAGCAAGGGGGGAAAGGAGGAAGAGGGTGAAGGGGGAAGAGCTAAAGAGAAACTCTGAAGGAGGAGGAGAAGAAAGGAATAGGGACGGTGAAAGAAAAGTGGGAAAGGGAGAGCAGGCGGAGGAAGACAAAGGTGAAAAAGGAGGAGGAGGAGGGGAAAGTGCAAAGGGGAGAGGAGGAGAAGAAAGAAGGGCCCTTCTCAAAATGGCATTAGGCAGAGGGAGGGGGCGACGAGCAGCGAGTCTCCACTGACAGCTCTGCCTGCGCCTGGCCGCCTGCCCCGGCCCCTCTCTGCCTCGCACACACAAACGCTGAACTTACTTCTTTCTGGCTCTCTGGAAAGGGGAAGCGCCATCTTTGCGAGGCCGGCCCCTAGGTCTTTTGTCTGTGGCTGCTGCTGCTGGGGGGGGAGCTCCAGGCTCGGGGGGCTGCTGCTGCTGCTGCTGAGGCGGCTCCACCACCGCCACCACCAGACTCTTGTCCTCCGTTGACATCCTAGTCAGCAGGACGAGAGAGACACATGGATGATGATGATGAGGATGAAGATGAGGATGGTGATGGGGATCCCGATGCTCCTCCTGCTCCCGCGGCTCCTCTCCTCCTCACCTCCGCCTCCTCCACCTCCGCCTCGCATCGCTGGCCTCAGCCGCCGCCGACCAGCACAGGTAGCAGGGGGAGCAGCATGGGGAGAGCGGGAGGAGGAGGAGGGGAGCGGGGGGGGGAGATGAGGGGGGGGGGGGTGCGAAGAGAAAGCGCAGAGGAAGGAAGGAAGGGTCTCACACACAATAACCCCCTCCCCGGCTCGGCGGGGTCTGTCGTGGGGCTGGGGGAGGTGAGGAGAGCGAGCGAGCGAGCGAGCGAGAGAGAGACGCGGCTGGTCCCGCCGCTGGGCGCCCCCGCTCAGAGGCCCCGGGCGCTGGCGGCGGCTCCGGCTGCGGCGCTGCCCGGCTGCGGCGGCCGCCGCTTCATTGTACCCTGGCCCTGCGCCCTCCCCCCGCGCAGAGCCCCCGGGGGCGGAGGAGGAGCGGGCGGCGGCGGCGGAGGCGGCGGGGGCCGAGGCCGAGCGGAGGAAGTTTTGACAGCTCCAGCTGTTGTGTGTGTGTGTCGAGGGGCTGAGTCCGGCCGGGCTCCGCGTCCCCTTCCCAGCCGGGCCGGGAGCAGGAAGTTTAACTTTGGGGGAAAAGAAGGAGGAGGAAGGGTGGAAAAAAAAAAAAAAAAAGGGGGGAGGAGGAAGGAGGGGGAGGAGGAGGAGGAGGCGGCGCCCTGCCCCCCCTCCCCGCGGGGTGGAGAAGGGATCCCGGCGCTGCCCTGGTGTGTAACCCCCCCGCTCCCTCCCCCCCCAACAGTGCGACACATAGACACAGCGACCGCCCGCCCTCCTCCTCCTTCTCCTCCTCCTCCTCCTCCTCCCCTGCCGCGGCCCCACACTGCGCCTGCCCCGCCCGTCCCCCGGCGCAGACACCCATCCGCCGCCACACTGACCTCACGGGCTGGGCCGGGGCCGCGCCGGGCTGCGGGGAAACTGCGGAGCGGCGCCCGGACCGGACGGGACGGGACGCGGCGCCACGGGGCGCTCCGAGCACCCACCCGCGCCGCACCCCCGCGGGGGCTGCCCGGCCGCTCCGGCGCTCCCACACCCTCTCCCCCCGCCCTTTTCTTTTAATTTATTTTTTTTTATTTATTTATTTCCCTCGTGGAAAAGGAAAAGCCCCGTCTGGATGAGAGTCGCCGCTTCGCAGCGGGGAGCCCCCCGCCCCGCCCCGCGCTGCCCAGGACGGCGGCCCCGGGGGCAGCGCTCGATGCCCGCCCTGGCGGTGCTCGCTCGCTCGCTGCACTCCCGCCCCGAGTCCCGGGGGGACCCCCAGGGAGGCGGCAGGAGCCCGGCGGCTCCCCAGGAGCGCCCCCCCTTCCCCCCGCCGCGCGTCTGCGGCTCCGGGGCGGGGGAGGCGGGAGGAGCCGCGGGCGCCCCGGGGGATGGGAAGGGAAGGAGGGAGGGAGCAGAGTTCAGCGCTGTGTGCGAGGGAGACAAAGTCTGGGGAGCGTGGCCGCTTTCCAGCAGCTCGGGCTGGAACAGCTGCGGCCGCTCGGGGCGGGGTGAGGGGGGGCCTCCCCGGGCAGGGGCCCGGCTGGCTGCCTGCCCGCCCGGCTGCGGGGCGGGGTTAAGCCTCATTACACGGGATTTAACGTGTCCCGGAGGCCAGGAGGGACTCGGGCTCTGAGGGTGGGGGGGAGGGAAGCGCGGCGGCGTCGCAGCCGGAGAAAAGTCCGGCCACGGGGCGAGGAAGCGGCCGCGCCCCCGGACTTTCCTCCCGGGCGCTGCCCCGACTCGCTCCGGCGCCCGCGGCGGGAGCGGCACCGGCGGGGCCGCTGGAGCGGAGCTGGCTCGGGGCCCCCCCGCCCGGCACCGCCCTCAGGGCACCCCCGGAGCCGCCCTCCCCGCCGCGGGGCCCCAGCACGGCCGCCCCTCCCTCTCTGCCTTCTCTCTTTCCCTCCCGGGGCCGGAGCGGCGGGCGCGGAGGGAGCGGTCTCGCTGCGCAGATGCTGAATCACGAAACGGGTCGCACGGACAGAAAAGGAACGCGGTGACTCGTGTTCGGGAACTTCGCCGGACTTGCAGACGTGGTGGGGACCTATAGACCCCCAAGGCTCCGCGTAAACACAGCCCGCACTGAGCGCTACTCCTGTGGCGTTTGGGTTTCTATGTTTGAATCCCAGTTACTAAAATGGCCCGGGGTAGCACAGAGGTACAACGAGGAAGGGAGGTAAGGAGGAGCTGATGTTAGTCGCTATTTTTATTTCTTTTTTTTAAGTAAAAATAAACACAAAGCACTCCAGACCATTACAGTGCTCTTCCTTCCCGAGTTTTTCACTTGTCCGCTTCAAAGTACTAAATAAAAAAGGTATGCTGTGGCCTTTTGCTTGCCCGTTTTCTTCAGAACCGCTTCATAACAGAATGCCTTCATTGATTCATTTTCTAGGTTTGTGAGTAATTAAATTAGACTTTTGCAACATTTTCATGTAAGGTATTAGAAAATAACATCTCCATCTATACACATACATATACAAATATATAAAATTATATAAAGCCATCCCTTTTACCATGCAAGAACAACAGCTGGATTGTTGGTGTGACTTTCTTGGCCCTGTCACTGAAAATGTACTCCTTTATGCCAAATTAAAATATATATCCTGAGCTAAATGTTTGTGTTATGAAGTCTGCAAATGACAGCATGGGTATACTGCTCATACAGCTTCAAATATGTGATCTTAATCTGTTTACATGTTGTCTAATAGAGGAAAGCGCCTTTGAATTTTCTTAAGTTTGGATAATTTAACTGAAAACACTTAATACTATACAGGCCCAGACTTGGGTGGAATAGAGAGAAAAAAGGCAAGGAGGGAGAGGGAAGGGAAAGGCCACAGCCTCTGCACAGTGGGATCGCTGGTGTGGCATTTGCTAGAGTTGCCAGGTTGCCATCTGGTCTACTGAAAAAAATGGCCATCTCCTGGAACACTGGCTGTGTGCATGCGGATCCGCTGCACATGCGCCACGGCCTGGGTGAGTCTAGGATGTGTCAGAGCCACTCTGCATGTGCAAATTGATTGGAGCTGCGACACGTGAGCACACCGTGGGCTCTGATCAACTGCTCGGTGTATGGGGAATATTTCACATCCCACGGCACAAATACGGCCGGTGAAATCGCTGGATTCACTTGCCCGTGCATGGTTCATCTGGTCCTCCCATGGGAACATTTTTTAACACCTTTAGACCACCTGTAAGGGGTTGAGCTTAGGGTTTTGTCTCTTATAACAAAAACGGATGCGTGATTTTAATTTTTTCTCCTTTTTTTTTTTTTTAACATATTAGCTATGTGTATGTGTAGCTAACACAATATAAAATCGGCTGGCTTTGGTGGAGCGTGGTCTAGCACAAGGACTTGTGTCTGTGAGTTTTACTGCTGTTCCTTATCTCTACGTGTCCAAACACAGCTGGGCAGGTCTGTGCTGTGAACTGCTGCAGCCACTGCTGTGGCAATCAAAGGTGTGAAGAACCATGTGGGACTGAGAGAGGCTCGTGAACAGGAACCTGGAGATGGAATTATAGGAGACTGTATTTGCAAGCATTATCTATCACTCAGAGAAGGCAGAGGGACATAAATCCAGTGTGGGAGTGCTTTGTTGATTCAGGGTATTTGAACAGTTCTCTCAGGAAAATTTTTATGTTTATACCTTGGCCACAGTAACCACCTATTATAAATTATCACTGTCTGGAAAACACACATTTTTACAGCAAATATGTAATATTGAATGAACAGGTTCTCTGCTTTACTGAATGTTAAGAGATCCTCCAGTCCACTGTAAACTAACTCAGGTGAGCTGACACACTTGGTTTGTTTTTTTTTTTTTAACTTTCTAGGACAGGCAGCTCTGAAACTTTCAACTAGAATTTTACATTCTATCCTTTCTTAAAATAAACATTTCTGTGGCTTTGGAGTTGTTTCTGAAATACAAGACCTTTGCAGTGCTGATTAAACAAGGCGTGCTAATGGTTTTAACTTCAAAACAGCTTAAATTGTCCCAGTGTGCTTAATGTTCATAATAGAACAAGCTGAAGATGGGATGTTGTCTTAAATCAGCTAGTTAAGAAAAATGATCCTGTTGTAGAAATAATTAAAGGAAAATGACAACCATTTTGCCTTTATACAACTAAAGTGGTGTATGTAACAGCAATAATGAGAGAAGTATTTTTGATTCTATCAGGAGTGGCATCCAGGTACTTTCTTTTTTATAACATTAGTTCAGTATTCTGCCCGTTTTAGGATTGTTCATCACTCTACATAAAGCAAATAAAAAGTTTAATTTTTGTTTTCTTCGTACATGTGTTCCCATTGCAGAAAAGTCCAAATTATCACAAAGGCTTCATTTAAGCTACATCAGTGACATGCTAACATTTTAGATGTTCAGTATACTGAACCACTTCGTCTTAACCTGTGCTAAATTGATAATTGGCTGTGTTGAACATCGCTTACCTCTATGTGCTGCTCTGAAAACCGGGGAGAGCTTGGTACCAGTCCCATATCCCATATGGCCATCCTTGTAGCAAACTTCAGGATAAAGGTGCAGTGGGCAGTCGAGTGCAGTAACCACAGCAGCTGCCCATGATATTTTTTTTACATCTGCATTCCTATTCACCCAAGTAGTTCACAAATAGCCAAATTACCGTTTTCTAGAATTAAATAAATAGGCCCAAGATAATCTAAAAGAGTTGTAGACAAAGCCTAAGTCAAGTGATAAAATCGGGATTACATCATACAAATACGTGACTCCTAGTGAATTTGTACTAAACTTGGCTGGACTACAAAAAATGTTAGCATATGTTAATTGTCATATGCTAACAAATGCGTTGTAGAAACCTAGTTTTAAACTTGAAATGTTTGTTTCTTCTTTTCATCAGTTTTGCTCTACTTGTCATCTCGTAGACCTGCCTTACTTTAGGAAACAGCACAGCCTGGATAGTGGGTATGACCTATACACCCTTGAGCGATGGTGACTTTCCCAGCAGTTTGGTGGGATCCTTTTTGCTGCACATGGTGGGGAGTAAGCCTCGCTTCTCATCCCGAGCAGCATTCCCAGACAGCTGGAGAACTCCAGTTATCAGGTGCTCTGGAGCAGTGGACAGGTACTGTGGAGGTCCAGTCTGCCTGGAATCCATCTAACTGCTTTCTTTGGAGGCAGCTCACAGTCTGTGAGGAAAAAACATTCCATTCCAGTTCATGTTTTCTCACCTGCTCCCTACCGTGAAATCCCCTCACTTCTGTTCTACAGCAGCTGCTCCCCACACAAACTGACCCACAGTTTGTATGAACATGGGCTTGCACAGCCCAGGCTCCCCATCCCCTGCCTGCTCCCACCTGATTAGTTCAGTGGGTGCTAAAGGCAGCGTATCCCACGCATCCCATGCAGTGATGGATGTGCCACCTCACACCTTTACACCTCAGTCTCACCAAAGCCTAAGGCCTTTTCATCCTATTAAGCTTCTTTGACTGGGCTAATGCGACTAAGAAACACACCTTTTTTATCCATTAAGATGAGGCCAAAAATGTTAAGTGCTCAAGATGCAAGCCCCCAGGGCTTCTCTATATATCGAGTTATTACACGTGGAGGCTTTTATCTTCGTAAGAAAATGTTCTTTTTGTGCAAGCCAAAGTGTGAATTTAAAACTAGTGGTTATAGTATAAGCCTCATGCAGACTCATTCATTCTGGCATCTTCTGGCTTTTTTCTGCTCAGATAAAGTCTAACTTCTTTAATTGATGTAAGTGAAATTAAAAAAAAAAAAAAAAAAGGTACTTAGACTGAGTTTGTCCACAAGAGGAATTATGCTTGCCTGCCTCTGGTAGTGTTATTAATAATACCTCCCAGTGTGGAGCAGCTTTGTCTATTAGGAATGTTAATTTTGCACATGTTTGCGCTTAGTAGGACCATCACTTATTTACATCTGAATCATCCTATTTTGACAAGTGGTAGCTGATGCACTCTACTGAAATCCACTAAGTTATTCCAAACCCAGGCCATGATTCTGGGGTTGCTAAATTAGGCAGAGAAGTAACTAGATGCATAAATAAGTTCACTGAAGACAACTACCTCCTGAATAAGGTTTGTTCTGTGTTTAAAAATTTGCAGAGATGCTTAAATTCTTCCTAAACTAGCAATTTATTTATTTTGTTCTTAGAAGGAACAGTGAACTGTGCTGTGTTACGTTGTATCATTTTAGCATCCCTGTGAAGTCACATAAAGTATCCACAAGTTACCTTGGGAACTTCGGTTCCATTCTTTTTGAATTCCTGTCTGGTTTATACATTTATGAAACTGTAATTTTATAAACTTTAATATTCTGAGTTTTAATTTTGACACCTATGTGGTGGTGGGCAGCAGAGAAATAATCTTTCATGACATATTATTTGTTGCATGGGTTTTTTTAATCCTAAAAGGTAGAATTTTATTAGTTTGAGTAAAAATCAATTTAGTACCTGAAACCAGTACATGCTAAATACTGGAAGATAGATGGAAAAAACCCAGAGCCAGTAGCAAGCACCCAGGGCAGTAGCTGGCCCCTTTGTGTGCCCCTTGGGAAAGACAATAGATTGCTGTGAAGTTGGGACTTTATCACGCAGAAAGTCAAATAAATGTCTGAACAGTGTTTGCTGTTTGCAGGAGTGGTGCATTACCCTCAGATTACTTAGTAGAAATAATACAAATCTGGCCGTGAAGCAGGGGAAAAGATTTGTTTGTGTGCAATCCTACATTTTGTTTTAGTAGGACTGTGTTTTTATTCTGCGGTTTGCACAGCACCTTGAGCACAGGGGTCCTGGTTCCTTGTCTGAGATCTTGGATGCTGTGATAATAGAAACTTAAATACCATTAGTAGAAATAAGCTTGTCATATGTTGCCAGTTTTGCAAGGAAATAATCTGTCTCAGACAGGATGGCCTCACTTTTAGTGGAGCTGTTACAATGTGGGAGGGGCAGGTGCCTTGGGTTGTAGGGAGGTAAACACCTGGACACAGGTGCCCAATCCTGTTTACAGCTGTTTACTTCAATAACATGACGTGTCTGAGGAAGAAGGGCAGCATTTGGCCTTTGGTTTTTGAAGTGGATTGCAGACAGTTAATGGGAACGTGTCACATACATGAGTTCCAGACAGAATTCAGTCCTTCACTTCTTTAATAACCAATTTTTTAAACCAATTAGCTACATACCCATATGGAAACAATAGTAGAGCCTTCACAGCCAAGACTATACAGAGATTCTAAATTACATATATAATAAAGGCTGTGCATGTGTTTTCTGGCTGAGAACCATGTTATATTTCAGCCTCAAGCAAAAATTTTCTCCAAGCTGTAACCCCTCGACAAAAACACACTTTTTAATGAAAGCCCTGACACCACCTTAATTACAGTGCAGCAAATATTACCATCATAATCCCATTTCATCCTTAGGCAAGGAGAGCATCCCTGGGGACCTGGCTGCCAGTGACCAGTTTTGCAGAAACAACCTTTTCCCCAGTGCATTTTTTAATTTAACCTGTGCTGTGCTGCTCGAGGGGGAAGATGCATGGGGAGCTGCTCGTGCTCATCTCCCCAAGCTCCTTGCAGCCCTCCTGGCACTCCCTGCAGCCCTGAGCCTGGAGGATCAAGTGGCACCCAGGGATGCCCAGCCTGTAGCCAGCTCTTTGTCTTCCCTACAGCCTCTCTGCCTGCCTCCCATGGGAGAGCAGGAGCCAAAAGTTCAGGTTCAGAACCTTTGTACCACACAAGAGTCCAGTTCTAGTTCCAAGCTGCTGGAAGAGCCACTCAGACTTTTTTTTTTTTTGCTGGCTGCCACACTGGAGAAAAATCCTTGTTTTGGATCCAGGAATGCAGGGGGAAGGCTCTCCCAATGCCAGTCCTAATCCAGGTGGGTGAGAACAGAGCTGTTGGAAAAGCAGGGCTGTGCTGTGCCCAGCAGAGTTGTGTTCATTTGAAGCAGCCTTGCAGTGTCTCCAGGCTTTCACAGTGTTTGGGTGGGTAAGTAAAATGTGATTAGTTTCTCATTACCAAATTGATTCAGTGCATAGATTTTGTGTGGGGACTGCAATACTGATGGGACAAATTGGCAAGGCTGTGTGAATCTGGGTTCTTTCCTTACCAGAAATATGGGGAGATATATATACACATATATACACAGGGGTATACTTGTGGTGCTTACGCTTTTTTCTCCTGCCTTCTTAAATCAAAGTAATAAATCTGTATAATCAAAGGAGCTAGAATAATCAATCTCTCCAAATTGATCTGAAAATCCTAATTAAGGGCTAGAGAGAAATTAAACATGAGGTTTCTTTTCCTCTCTACAACATTATCAATTACAGTACAGTTTTCTATTATGGAACTTCTACAATTCTTATGTACAGAGTAAAATCATGCAGCTGAGATACTTTCTCTAAAAACAAGCAAAAGCCCTATATCTGCTGGGAGGACATTTCTGTTATCCTGTTCCCTTCTATTTAGGTTCTCATATGGTGTTAATCACCATGGTATCTTACAGCTTTGTGAAAATATAGTGCACCATATGTGATAAATCACTAATATTAAGAATGAAGATGCTGGATAAAAATATTTTTCCCAAATCTAAAGCAGAAGACTTGCAATAACGGACAAACCCAGACAAGCAGCCTGAGTAAAAGGAGCCGTGTGTATGAATACAAGGGATGGGGTCAGAATCATTCCTTAGGTGGTAATATTGCATCCAGTCATTCTTTGTGAGTGTGAATGGCACACTCACTCCTTTCTTCCCATGCTTCAGCTCACTAAAGCACAGGGACTGGACTATGTTCAAGCCATCTCCTGTTCCCTCCTTTTCACTGCAGATGAGTGCTCACCTTGCAGTATTCAAGGGCATCAGTCAAAAGAAGATAATTTGCCAATAAATGCAAAGTAAACTTGTGCTTTTGTTGTTAATTAGGTGCACACATAACTACAGTCCAAACATAAAACAAAATGTGGGACTGTACTTCCACTGGAAAGAATGCGCTGAAGTGGTCATAAGTTATCCCCCCAATTGGTAATCTCAGTTACATATTTTCTCATGGTTTTTCACTTCCCGCTTAGTTTCAGCCAGATCTGTTTTCTATTTATACTGTAAGTGTCAACACATAAATAATTTTCTCTGTTGTATCCCTCACTATTGCATTCTTTTTCTTGATGGAATAGCAGAAGTAATTATATTTATAAATGGAATGCCTGTTTTGCCTAAGTATCACATATAATTCCCTTCTGTAAGAGGGATTTTTATAATTCCTCTAAAAATGTCTTGGCAAGGATCGACCCACCAGTTGGTAGTGTGGATCCAGCCTTTAGGGACAGAACTCAGAATTCTGATCCCTTTGGCCAACAGGCAGGAGGGCACCACATTAAAAATGCTCTAGTTTGTTTGAGAGAATGATGCTGATGTTAAATATGTGCAATTATTAAGCATGCCAGAAAGCAAATTCTCTGAGAGTTGCTTCCCACCTGTGGATTTTGCTATTCAGCACAGAATTATGTAGGCAACTGAAGAATTCTTCATTGTGGATGGCTGTGGGAAGATATTAATCCTGTTCTTCAAGTAAGATACACTCACTGATCTACTAGACCTGCTCCACCTCTACTGTGTCATATTGTGAAAGGAAATCAAAGGAATTCCAAGTGAAAGGACAAGTAATCTCAAGTCCTTCTTATCCCCTTTCTACCTGCTTTTTCAGCTGCTTTTTGCAGACAAGTTCAGCTGTCCCTTGTTCAATGGGAGTAGAGCAGAGGGAGATCTGTTGTGAGCTCTGCATTAAGAGAAGTCCAGTCTTACATCTCTGGGTGCTCCTTGAGAAAACCTCAATCAAACCCATTATATAGGGATGGTGGATCCCAGCCACAGGCAGTTCACAGCTCACTCACTGGATGAAACAGCAACAGGCCTCCTGGAGCTGATCTACAGTACAGGAGGAGAAAAACATTATTTTCTTACTGGGTTCTGCTGTCTGTTTGTGCATGGGTGTTCTTTTATTACAGTTTCTCTAATATTTGCTTTGATTAAAGGTGCCTACACCTACAAAGCAGTGAGGCATTCTGTTCCTACAGATGTGGCAAGCTTGAGGAAGGTTGTATTGGAGCATTCAAAATTCATGTCCTGTGTGGTTTAGGAGCTGAAAATGTATCTGTGTGTGAGAGATGTGGGTGATATAAGGCGGGTCCTTGGCCTTGGTGTAAAAAAATTCCTAAATCTCTGGAGTCTAACAGGGTTTGAAGCATGACCCTGCAGACTGGTCAGCATTTCCATGGTACCCATTCCTCAGCTGCTGGAGCTTCCATTGCCCAGTTTTCACTGTAGTATGATCAGCAGAACCAAACACTCACCGCTCCTGAAACTATCAGCTCTCAGTGTTGTATCTTTAACATAAATCAGCTTAAACTAACAGGGGACTTTAATCGCCGCATCAGTGACTTGGCAACCAGCACACATTTGTGTCTGCCATCCCTGCCCTAGAGAGGCAGGGATGTCACATCCTCAGCCACTGCAGTGACATCCAGGAGGGCAGTGAGCACGGGTCCCACGAGAGCCTGTGCTGCCGTGGCCTAGTTTATGCAGATGCTTTGAACAAGCTGGATCCTGCTCCTCCAACAGTGTCATTCCATCAGTGTCAGCTACAGAATCCATCAAACCCGGGATGCTCCTGGGTGGTTAGCCCGGCCCGCTGTGGCTCTATTCCTGTCCTCTTGCTAAGTCTGACTTAGCTCCTTTACAGCTCTGCCTCCATCAGCTGCAGCCTCTGAAGCACAGAGAGACCCAAATCCATTTCCCACTTCCCTGTACATTTAATCAGAGGCCTCTAAGAAGTTTCAGACTGCAGTCTTTCCTTTTCCCTGTGTACCCCCACTAAGGGTTCCTGTTTATTTAAGGTTTAACTTTATGACCAGTTTTCCTTTCTCTCAGTATTCACAGTACAAATTTCGTGTGTTCCCTCAGCTTTTGCATTCAGCTGGTTTGGCTGATTTAACGTCGCTGATTTACTGGTATAACTTAGCTTGTCTGAAAGTAAGGAAGATTGATGTTGGCTGAAATAAAATTCTGAGATGCTTATGGAGTTTTATTGCCCTAGATTTCTGGATTGCTATTTATTCAAAAAAGTAGGCAGAACTCTGACTTTAGATTTGCAGGAATGCCTCCATTATGTCAGTGTTGCTAATCCTTTGAGTCAAGTCATTGTGGTTAGCCAATCTTGTTTTTTGTCTCTGTGGTAAGATTTTACATCCAGAAGGCTAACCTCAATGCTCCCCCACGAAAGCAGGCAGAGATGACAAAGCGTTTCCTTCTTTGACCTCTGAAGTTGAGTTTTGCAGAAAGATGGAATCCGTCAAATCAGACCAAACATCACATCACCCTGTATGAGAACCAAAGGGTCAAATCCTGTCACTGTAGCAATATGTGGAATAAAAATGGGCTGAAATGTATTTCATAAAACTAATTTCTCTTCTAAAATAGTTTTTCTTCTAAATTCAGAACTGTGAAATTCTCTTATGCTTGTGAGTTATATATACATGGTTATGTATCATGTCAGAGAAAACTTGAGGTTATCTGGATTTCCGAACTGTGCATTTCAGTCCTGATTGTCTTGACTTTCCTGGGTTTGTAATGTTTTGGGGGGGATAATTGTAGTATTCTGATTTCTTTACATAACTCCAGTTTAACATCATTTCTTTGGGGAAAATATGTTGTTCAATAGACACTTCTGATAAGAGGAGGGGAGGAGGAAGCTTTAAGGGAGATCTTCCCCTGTTTTGACTTTTGCCTTTCTCTCCTTTCCTAGTGCTGATATTAGTCCAGAGTTACAGCTTTGTGTGAGCAGTGCTGATATTGGGGCTTAAAGTGTGGACAAAAGGTGCCTGGTAGAGGGCCTGGACAGCCCTGCTGCCCTCTCACCAAGGATGGATCCCAGGCCTAGGGATGCAGGGTGAGAAGCACGTCTGTTCCTGCCGGGACTGCGCTGGGATGAATCCCTTCTGCTGTGACAAGGGCCACGTTGCAGACCCTCAGCACCTCCTCTGGGTCCACACAGGGGCTGTGTCTCTCCTTTCACTTAGCAACATAATCATCCATGAACTAAAGAACTCTATCCCACCCAGATGGGACTGGAGCTGGTTCTATGAGTGGAAGATGTTTAATATCAGCATTACATCATATAAAAAACTTTGGCTTGTCACCATGAGATTCACTTGTGCACTCTCTGCTTGGACCACTGGTGCTGTGCAAAGCAGCTGAGGCGAACTGGCCATTTGGGCCAGGCTTAACTGCTACTTTAAATCCTAGGATTATCACAAGAGAGCAGGAGTATTCGCTGTGCTGGAGCTGCCTCCTAACTGGGCACTCTGCTGCCCTGGCATTTTTCAGACCAGTGACAGGTCAGAGCAGTGACAGCAGGTGGATGACCAAGAAACCTGCCACTGACAACCCTTTGCATGCAGTTGAAAGGACTGGTGACTAAACAATTCCCTCTAACTGGAGCTTTTCAAACCATAAAAACAGTTTGGAAACTACCTCTAACAGTGGAGGGACAGCTGACCACTTTGTCATCGCTGCCACTTTGGCATCACTTAAGACTGACCTGAATTCTTGATCTGGCCAGTCTGTTGATCTATAATCATAGCAATCCGTTAATTACTTGGTTTAATTATTATAATGAAAGGTTTAGCTATACCTAGCTTTGTGAGTTTCCATGTTATTTTTCACTGAGGTAATTTTCAGGCATAAAAGATCCAGCAAGCAATGCCTTAACCCATTCCACAAAGAATGTGGAGCTTTACTGGTAAATTCTCAATACAGTATTGTCTGCTCAGGCAGTAAATATCACAGCTGTGAGAAACATGCTGTATTCTTCACACACACACACAACAGGGGACTGGAATTCCTCTCAGTGCTGTTTGAGCCATGCACTCATGACCTGTACTTCCATAATACCTCTTTGCTGTGATATTAGCACCAGGTGTACCATCAGTACACCCACCTTTTCATGTAATCTCTGATAGAAAGATGCAGTTAGCAAATGGCATCAGGTATTAATGCAGAAGTGACCTTTTAATGTCATGCACAGATACACTAAGAAAGAACTGCCACTGAAAACTTCTGATTAAAGATAAAAGTAGACAGCCTGTAAAAACACTAAGATAAAAAGTAAATCCATTTGCCCTGAGTTTCCCCTGCTATCCCACCTCCTACTATAAATTGATGTTGTCAGCACTCATGATTTTATCACAAGTCTTGTGATGTTTGATGTTTCACTTACACTCCAGCTACTACAGTTGTGTAATGAGGTTAGAAACTCAGCTTTCCCTTTCCTTTAATTTAAAGTAAGCTTCTAGTCCTAATGGTTAGAGTATAAAGCTTGCAAGTGTGACCCAGGTGCACCCTAACAGCTCAAAAACCAGAAAGCACAGTAAAAGAGCTCCACATTTATCATCCTACAGTCAGGCTTATGATTTCGAGGGTCAAACTGTAGTTCTTGAACATTTGGAGCTGGAAATAGCGACTTGGGGAAAAAAGCGCTTGAACAAAGTGCCGCACCACGTTGCATTTTCCAGGGAAGCATGTCAGTCATTATACCTCAGTGATAATTCCCTTTTCAGACATGCACATTTTCCTATTGGCTTTGTTATGCAGCATCTCAGGGTTCCCCCCCAGCCTGACAGGGCTGGAGGGTGTGCAGTGCTCCTTAGTCCCCACAGACTGGCACGTCTGTGCTTAAAAACCTGTAAAACCAGGAATGTCCTGACTTCCAGTCTTGGGAGTTGATCTGCCTTTTGTGAAGCTCCATCAAGAAACAAGGAATCCCCCACCCCTGCCAATGCAGCAACAAAGGGGCAAACAACAACAACAACAACAAAAATGCAAATATGGAAATACAGTAACATTGAAAATGGCTGGTTTGACTTAAGGAGCCCACAATGTGCCAAGTTTTGATGTACAAACCAAAAATACTCAGCTGTTGGTTTTGGAAAAAACAAGCTCCCAATAGCAATAACTCAGATTTGAAGGAGGCACGATATTTAAATGGAGTTCCAAATTATCAAAGACAGTATAACAGTATATATAATTCATACTGAAAGTACAAATTATGCCTAGAACTGAAGGAGTATCCAAAGCAGTGAATGGAGTCTGAGTGTTGTATGGGCACATCGGTCAAAACTTCTCTGCAGTCACAGACTGGTGGTCCCAAAGGTCCCTCTGTGTTGCCCTAAATTATTGTGTAATAATTCTGGGGGTGACAAAATTACAAATAACTGTGACAAAAACTAACTCCAAATTAAGAAAAAGGTAGAAGACTCTGAGACTCAATTTCTGCATGACTAAACAGAACATTGAGGGAGGTTTTATGTTTCACAAATTTAAAAGTGTGACAAAAATTGGATAATATTTTCAAAGAACTAAAGAAGCTCAACTGATCCTGCACTGCCTCTACACTGCCCCTGTTATTAATTTTGCCCTTGAATTCAGCAATAATTTCCATGTGCTAATTTTCATGAGACTGACACTTTGCTTCTAAACTGCTTCCCCTGTAGAAAGCTGAAGAAACCATTATTGACTCTTGATCCCTTGGCTGAGCAGATTTCTGTGCATCACAAGCCACATTATTTAAAGCTGTGGACTTATATTTTTTATCTCTAAGTTAAAGGTGCTGTGAAAAATCTGTGTCTTGCAAGAGATACATTCTTCAGCCTAAGGAACTTCTAAATAACTTGGAAACAGATATGCAAAAACATTGGAAGGGTCTGCTTTTTTTATGTTAGTTTCTGTAAAGAGGAACTTTGTTTTTAATCTTCTCCAGCTTCTTTCTAGCTCTATTATCTCTAATTACTTTCAAATATACTCAAATCATCCTCCCTATATTGAAATGAGCTGTCTCTTACTCTCACCTATGCAGGTCTCTGGTGCTGTGATAACGTCAGGTGTATTTTTAAAATCTAAAATGAGTAAGGTTTAAAAGATTTTCCCACCTGTATTGTCCCTGCTTCCATGGCAGTCTGTGACAGGACTCCTGTTGGTCTGGCAGGACAATTTAATGCTGGTTGTTGTTTTTTAAATAACGGAAAGTGTATAAATTCCTTGTGGCACAGCTCTGTGTAGATAAAGGTGTATTCAAGCCATCAATTTTACTTTGAAACATATGAATTAAAATTCTATAACTGCTCTCCTGTGAGTCTGTCTCCTTTTCTGCCTCACTAAGCATTAATTATTGTGGCCTCAACACTCTGTTCTGCCCTTTTCTTCCCTTTTCTCCTTCCCACTCCCCACTGTCGCTCCCAATGGCTGGGGAGTGTCCCCAGTAAAGCAATCCAGTTCATCTCCCAGTAAAGGGCCATCGGCCAACACATTCTGGGCCCAAATTCATCTCTGAAATATTGGTACAGGCTTAAATAGATGCAGTCCCTCAGTTAATATACTAGATTTCAATGGAGTTACATGGGGAATTAATTTTCCTCTGTCTGTAGTCTGAAAAACAATAAAATAGGGAAATGCTGAGAATCTACTGCTTGGCTTTCCAAACTGGGTGAAGGACTGGTTCTTGCTTGTTGCCCATTAATGTAGACAGTAGCAAGATACTCCTGATGCACGTCTTTTCTGTACAAACATAACATTTTAGCCCTTGCTGGCTCAAGGCCAGAGGGATGTGTAGGTGGCAGCTCCCCTGACAGTCAGCCTGTAACCTGTCTGTGTAATGCCACGTGTTTTAGTGTGTGCTTGTAACTTCTGCCACGTGTGGCAACACCTATTTCTGCGTGTTTCTCTCTTTGAATAATAACAAGAGTTTTCCTTTGTGTAGCACTTTAGGCAGAAGTAGCAGCAGCAGTTACAGGAGCCAATCTGACAAGGTCCAGCAGGGTGTGAGCGGCTGGTCTGGCGTGTGCTGGCGAGTGTAACACTTGTTAACTCCCTGTGCCTTGTGACTGGTACCTAAGTAAAAAGCTGAATATCAGGACATTCTAGTACAACTGGATGGGACAACACACAAGTGAAGAACTTTTCAGCTAAAACTTCATATCTTTTTTTTTTATTATTCCATTCCTTCATCGCCCATCTTTTCTGTCTGCATATTATGCACTGTTCTCTCTCTTTACCATCTTTTCCCCCATTGCCCTGTGCCATTTCCTTCCCAGATGAAACATCCCTCTTTTTCCCATTGATTGCCCTTTGTGGGTTCTCTCCATGTAGCTCATAATTTCTGTCCCTCGCCTCCCCCACTCATCCCGACATCTTGGGCAGGAGTGATTGAAGCGACGGATTCCGAAAGAGCAAACCAGTCTCCAGAGACAGAAACACTGCAGATCATTATCTTTCTCACTCTCTTAATGGAGAAACAGAAAATATGTGAAGTCAGCTGATAACACAGTAAATGTGTAGATGAAAGTCCTTTTGCTGCAAGAAGAATCATAATATAAGGTACCTACAGGTATTTGATCCGAGCAAAGTCTTCCTTGACTCTCAGTATTCCCGTTCTAGGTCCATGTATAGCTGATGTCTGTAGGAAGACACTGGAAGTCCTAATCTGTACATTAACTAAATGACTGAGGTTTTAATATGGAAGATGCAGGAAAACATTTCTTATCTCTTCCAGAGTGGGTAGCACACAAATTGTAATGGTTTTCACCGTTATCGTGACCACAATAAAACTGAGTCTGCCCAAAAGCCTTTTGCTGACTCTTCATAGATCTGTTCTCACAGTGAAAAGTGTTTGAACTGTAGCATTACCATTTCAAATCATTTTCTAACTGCTCTCTGAAAATAGAAGAAAAATAAGAATACAATAGTTGGGACCCCTTATAAAATCTTCCTAGAGGAGTCCAAGGATACTCACCATTGGTCTCAATGGAGCTTTCACACATCCTTGAAAGGAATTCATTAAGCTGGAAAAGCTGGCTAAAAACCAGTCTTCCTATAATGTCTTCCATAATTTGCTCCAAGGGACACATTTATAGTCACTCAGCCTTTTTTATAGATCTTGTGCAAGATGAAGGGCTGGGTCACAATTGCAAGACTTTAATGAATAGATGTTTGTTACATGCCACAACCAAATAATTTTTCAAGCATCTCAGCACTGTGCAGCCTTTTCAGTATGGACTTCCCCAAGGATGTGCAACAGGGATAGTTGCAGCCTCTGGGATCAGAATGACATAGTGACCATTTTTGTTCCAGGTGCTCCTTTTTCCATGCTGACCCGTTCAGATACAGAAGGAAAGCATCCAGCAATTGCAATTTCTAGTCTTGATTTTCTTTTCAAGGATTTGAAGATTTCAGTTATTTCTTTTTACTCTTATTAACTTCTCTACGGGCTTGTGTGGACACAGACTACAATAGAAAGGCTCCTCCAATTAACAAAACATCACTGAAATTTAGAATACCTATCAATCATGGCCAGATCTCAAGATAACACTCTGCTTTTCAAAGAATCCTGAGAAGATCTTCATGAAGTCTGTTTAGTTGTATGAGAATTGTCTGTCATTCCCATTCCACCAAATGGATTATAATTGTTAGAGAGAAAGGGCAGGGGGGGAATAAGACTTTTTTTGGGTGTGAAGCCCATTGGAGTTTTAGAATAGGGTAACCTTGGATTACCAAATACAAATTCAGTCAGAAACTTTTTATCTGAAGGTAGCTCAAACTGAGAACTCCCTTCCTAATTCTCCTTATCTTTCTGAGAATACTGGCACATGGACACTGAACTTTTTTGCTGGACATTTTCCACCTGGCCAAAAACACTGGAAGTCATGTCTTAGCATGGTAAGCCAAGTAGCTGTTGCACAAAAAACACTGAGTATGTTTGTATATTGCACCAGAGACAGCCTTGAGTCAAGTCACCATATTGATATACAAAGGACCAGATAGTAAACTTTTTATTAGCAGCCAGGAATTTCTTTTGAAAATTATCCTTTTTTTGACATCCCCACATATGGGCTGAAGGATGCTGGTACAGTTCTCTTTCTATCAAAATAGGATATAATGTGTGACTGTGTTCTAGAAAAGTGTTACCTTTTCTAACAGATTTATAATTTTTTAATGTCAGACCACTACAGAGCTTTCAAGCAATAGCTGCTGGCCAAAATTACATTAGGAAAGGGCACGTTATGCTCCATTTCCCTCCAGGAAAGGGAGGTAAACATAGGCAATCTGGACTGGGAGGGCCAGAGCAGAGGTAAGGAGGCAGCCAGCTCCCAGCATCTTTGCTTTCAGTGTGCTTTTCCTGGGGCTTCTGCTGGATTGACCCGTGGCAGTTTCAAACAAAGATAACAGGACCTCTCCTGAAATTATCAGAGCCCTTTGCTTTCATGCCTGTATCCACATTTAAGAAAAATTTGTCTTATTCGAGAGAGGTAGCTGGGCCTCAGCTTTCCAGGGCAGGCTGTTGGGCTCTGTGCAGACAGACACGGGCTCCTTCTGCCCGAGCCTCTGAGCAGGCGTGTGAGCTTGGGCACAGAGCCACACTCATACAGCTCCGTGGCTCCCAGACAGGGGCTGGCACAAGTCCGGTTGGCTTGGAGCACGGGCAGGGTGAGCTCACATCTGTCTGCACCTGTCTGTGCTGACAGAGTTAAAATTTGGGGTGGAAAAAGAAACAGGAGGAAGCCTAAGAGAGTGCCTCTGAATCCACCTGGCGCTCACAGCCGCAGTGCTCGGAAGTCGGGGGGATGCTGGGGTGCAGCCACACACACTGCAGGAGCTGGATCCTGCCTCTGGAAGAGAGAGAGGGAGGCTCTGGAGCCTTCTTGTTCTGCACTGCCAGCAGGAACTCAGCAGGAACAACAGCTCTTGCAGAGTTTCTGCAGGCAGCCCATACACCCGTTTCTTTCCCAAAATGGCAATACAAAAGTAACAATACAAAACACCAAAGAAGGGATATTGTATTCTGCTGAATTCCAGCTACTCCGAGAAATGGGAAGCACAGTGTGGTTGTTGCCTGCTGAAGGAGAGACAGAGAAGGCATCTACAGAGAGGGAAACAATATTTGTGGTGAATTAGCACTGCTGACAGATGTACCTGGTACCCGGGGCTGGTGGAGGCTGTTCCTTCCATCTCCAGGGAAAAGCAGTGCACGGTAAAGCTCAGTGGCATTTTGAAATACTTGTAAAATCAGAGCAGCACAACCTGAAACTATTATTAACCAGTTAGTCACAGTGCTGCTAATTGCCAGTCACCTTATACCAGGGAACTTGGGCTAAGGAACTGAGCTCAGAACAAACGACCACCTAATTTAGGCCCCCATTAGTCATCACAGCAGCTGAAATTAGGTGTCTTGACTCCAGCAGGACAAGCCAGGTCACCTTGGTTAGATATTTGAGCTTCACATGCAGAGAGTGAGTCAAAAAGCCAGTCTGCTTTCTAGGGGAAAGAGTTACTGGGGGGATGTAGCCAGTGCTAAATGTTGTGTTTGCCATTGCTCCCCTCCCTTTCCCTCACTGAAGCTTGAGCTTTTACCTCAAGGCTGCTCATGGAAACTGCTGTCCTTTGGGATCTTGGCCCTGGAGGAAACTCTTTTATTGGGTGCCAAACTGACCTGGGCCCACTCTTGTTTGAGAATGAGTGGCACTAAGCTGAGCAGAGCCTGCAGTGTCCTTTTCCTGCTCCCTGAGCTGCTGTGAAAAAGGTGGGCAAAGAGTTCACCTCATCACTGTGTTTCTCTTTGTCAGTGTCTTCTAAGTGTGCCCTTGCAGTGATCTTTCAAGTTATTTGTAGGATTTGGCCTAAATCTAGGTTGGAGAAGAGCTTAGGTGGGAGACGGAGCAGGGCCCCTCAGAGATTAGGCAATGATGGTGGTTTAGGCAGTGCTGTCTTTGGCACTTCTGGAACTAAGGTGTCTAAATTCTGTCTAAATCCAGAGGTTAAGGAGCAGGGATAAACTCTGACTACCCTTCTAAAAAAGCACTCAATACATAAATTGCTCCTCCTGCCCACAGACAGCTGCATTGTTTGGTTCGGTGGCTGAAGGAAGCGGGGTCAGGTGTTTCTTTTGTGCTCAGTGAAATGATATCTGTGTGCCCGAGAAGCTGGAAGGGATATCTGAGGTCACTGAGTTCAGCCCTTCACTACTGCAGACAAACATGATGTAATCCCCTTCATTACATGGGCAAACTTCCATTCTAAAAGTAGTTAGTTTTGCTTGTTTTCCTTTTTTTTCCTCCACTTGATTCACTTTCCT